AGCCGCTGGCTATGCAGGTGGATAATGTCTGTGGCGATGGCATTCAGGAAGTTGCGGTCATGAGAGACGACCAGGATTGTGGAGGGCCATGTCTGAGGGGTCACAGTACGGCAGGTCCAGTTTGGGAGGGCAGTCAGTTCTCAGGCCCCCAGGTATCTTGGAGGCCGACTTTCCCCCACCCACTCCAGCACCTACAGACACTCACCTGCAGGTAATTCTCCAGCCACAGGATGGCCCTGACATCCAGCATGTTTGTAGGTTCTGGAGAAGTAGGGGAGCACACACTTGGGATTGCAGGGCTGGAGAACTAGGAACTTGGATGCTACCACCCCTGCCCATCCTAAAGCCTGGGTGCCCCATTTCAAACTCACCATCTAACAGCAGCAGATCTGGTCTATGAAAAAGAATACACGGCATGAGGATTTAGGGCAGCAACTCACTGCCACCTCCCAAGAGCTAAGACCAATCTTCCATAGGGCTCCATACACTGGCCCAGAAGACTCACCTAGCAAATAGGGCCCGGGCCAGGGCCAGCCTCATCCTCCAGCCACCCGAGAACTCCCTAAAGAATGACGGGGCCACATTAGGGGTGGGTGGTCATCAGGTCAGAAAGGGGCTGAGTCAACAGGGTTCAAAGCCAAGAATGGCAAGGGTCACTCACCGGGTGGGCTGCTGCTGCATTTTGGGGGTAAAGCCAAGCCCAGCGAGAATGACTGATGCTCTAGGAGGGAAGAAATTGAAGAAGTCAAGTGGAACAGTCCACAGAAGGGAAGGGAAATCTGGAGGGAGGGGAAATTTGATATACCTGGCAGGTGCCTTGTCGGCCTCAATCTCCTCCAGTTTGGCATAGATTTCTGCCAGCTCTGCGGCTTCAGAGCCCTCCGCCCTGGAGGGAGGAGAAACAGCAACTGGCCTAAGTGGGGGCAGTCCAGGAGGATGTCCTGCACCCTATACAGCTGGAAAGAGGCCACTGGCTACCTTGTGGCTAGAAGAGGAAGAGAATACAGGAAGGATCTGCTCAAGGTAATGAGGACACTGGGCACTGTGGAAAGAACAAGGGCTGTTGAGTCCCAGGGTGCCAAGTTCTAAGCTCTGCTGATTACTAGGATGGACACGCAAATGGTGGATTGTTCCAGCATGGCAGGCACTCTGTGAGGGCCAGCAGCTGCTAGTTACTCTCTAGCCTGAAGCCCTCACCTGCCAGCAGCAATCTGGGCGCTGAGTTCCCGCTCCCGCCGTAACAGGCCCTCCCGCACACTGTCACTCTCCAGCACACTCTGTAGGGCAGGGGTGTCATCTCCAGCAACCTCTTGCTCAACATGCAGCAGGGAAATGTGGGCTGGAACCCGCAGACTCCGGGTGGCCAGCATCTTCAGTAACGTGGTCTTCCCCAGCCCATTCCGCCCCACCAGCCCGTAACGGCGGCCCCATGCCAGGTTCACATCAGCTCCAGCCAGCAGTACTCTGCAGGAGGGGAGAAAGGAGACCAAAGCTGCTCTGAAAACAGGTGCACAGATAGTTTAACGATAAACCTAACATTGTTTGTAGCCCCATTTCATCTCTCTAAATTCTCCTCTAATTAGAAAAAGAAAGCCAAGCCCGCCCCCACCATTCCCTCACCTGTCACCAAAAGACACATCGAAGTTCTCAATTCGCACATCATAGGATTTGTTCTTGCCAGATGATTCCAATCGACTCTCCTTTCTGCTGCCTGCCTGGCTGGCTGATGCCTCTTCTAAGACTCTTTAAAGGAAGAAACAGACAGCTCTTAGTGCTCCCCACCACCTTCTGTCCAGGCAGACACTGCTCTGCTCTCTTCTGAGCCATGCTTTCCCCACTCACAGAGGGTTGCTAGTCTTGAGCGTGTCCCTCTCTGACCGCTTCTCCTGCTTTGCCTTAAGTCGAGCCTCGGCCTTCTCAAGCTTCTTTGCATTCACTGTCTAAGGATCCAAACACATCGACTTCACTCTAGAGTGTAGGCTCAGAAAGGAACCCGAAGAGAGAACACCTCAAGTAAACCCTCTTAACTTACCCAAGATGAACAGACTCAAAGGCTCAGGGAAAGACACAGTCAGAAATCCCCCCAAAAGATCCTCCAATTAGGCAGTCCACTCCCAACCCCATCACAGGCTCCCTCCCTTGCTTCCTCCTCCTCACCGAGGACTGTTCCCTCTTTAGCAGTCCTGGAAGTTTGGTTCCACAGTCTGTAAGCGATAAGAAAAGCAGTCACCTTCTCCCTGAGGGAAGGGAAACTAACACTTTGAGTGACTAATATGAACCAGGCACAGACACAGACGTTTTCTACAAAGCTTTATAATCCTGGAGATAGATGGCTATTATCTTCCCTGCACTTAAAAAACAAAAACAAACAAAAAACCTCACATAAAAGAATACAGAGGCATAGGCGGGGGTAGGGACAGATAACCAACTCTAACAAGATCATGCAGCTGGTTAGTAAGTTGCAAAATTGGGGAGTGAAACCAAGTCTGTCCAGCTCCAGGCTCCTATGCTTCCTACCATACCCAAGAGCTGGGAGAACCCTCCAACAGCCTCCCCGCCCCGCCCCCCGACCATGGGCTCTTTTGCCCTCGGTAAAGACATCAACTAGCTCCTACAACCCTGTCCTGTGGAAAAGCAGTAGTAGGAGCCCTAAGCTGCAGGAGCAGATGGGTAGGGGCGGAGAAAAGGACAAGGGCAGTTAGTTCAACCTCCCCGCACTGTCGCACTCTCACCGTAGTTCTCTGTTATCTTTGACAGCTGGATAGGCGCGTCCAGTAGCACCTGGCTATTTCCCTGGCTCTGTGGTTCAGCCCTATGTCGGTAGGGACAGAAAGCGCAAAGTTAGGAGTTGAGAGAAAAGCTCTATGGCCGTCAGACCTTCTTCCCCCACCTCGTCTCCGGACCGTTCACCCTCCCTTCGCCCCCATCAACCCCTACTCCCTGGCACATACAGGCGCAGAGTGTTGTACATGCGCTGGCACACGGCCCTGATGCCCGCGTCATCCTTGCTGTCCCCGGACACCTCTTGCAATAGTTCCCCCACAGCTTCCACCAGGTCATCCACAGACTCGAAGTCCGAGCTGCCGCTGTGCAAGACGCCTGCGCAGGGCGTGGCAGAGGAGGAAGGTATCAGGCAGGGAGGACACACAAGCAGTTTCCCCAAACAGCGGCCCCAGTCCAGGTTCGAGCCCCAACCGGCCCCCGGGACAAGAGGTCATGCCGAGGAGAGGCCTGGCAACGGTCCCCGGCACGACGCTCGCTTAGGCTTTGCCCCGGCCTCCACTGCGGTCTCCTCAGCCGGCTGATTCAGTTCTGCTTACCCGTCACGTAGTCGAAGACCTGTCCGTCAATTTCAGGGAACTCGCTCCGCAGGATTTCGGCGCAAGTCGCCATGTTCCAGCCGAGAACCAGTCCGCGCAGTCGCTGTGAGCCCCTGGCCTAGGCCCGCCCCCCGCCCTGTCCCCGATATCTCGCCCCCTCCTTGCAAGGCGCATGCGTAGCGGTGACACAAGAAAGGAGCGGAGAGCAAGGAGCCTGGCGGGCGGGGCGCGCGGGGCCCAGAGAGGCGCTGAGCCTGCGCCGGACCGCCCTCTCTGCGCGTGCGCAACACCTTTTCTGCGGAAAGATTAGTCACACGTGCGGTTCTCGCTGCCTTCTGGGAGGTGGAGTTCCCGGAGCGAGGGGTGGGGCGGCGGCTGAGAGCTCAAGGTTTATCAGGGCGCGAGGCACCGGTGGTCTGGCAGGTGGGAGCCTCCCAAGAGACAGGCGGCTGATAAAGCACTTTGGCTTTGCCGGGTTTTATGCGCTCCCTCGAGGCGCGTCTGCTGTGGCTGCGCACCCAGCCAGGCCCATTTTGGAGGCCGCCCAGAGCTGCTGATTCACCCTGGTCCCTGACTCTGGGCCGCTGAGCTCCCGCTCCCGCTGTAACAGGTCTTCCAGCACACTGTCACTCTCCAGCAAACTCCCCCCCACCTCAGTGCTTTGCTTTCGGGGCCCCCGCATCCTACGGGCTCCTCAGCCTGGTGGTCAGCGCCACCCGCCTGCCCGCCGCGACCTGTCTTTTCATACTTGATAATTGAGCTGACCTTTGCGAATTAAGCCCATTCAGTTCTTCCACCACCCCAGGGCACGACCAAATCCACCGCCAAAGGGCAAGAAAACCAGAAGGACAACGTGGCTTGTATAAATTCACTGGTATTTATTCCCTACCTACACCCAAAGCCGACGACTTCGCACCCTGAGTCTCAGTAAATGCCAGTAAAAGGCTACTTCCTTTCACCGATTCCCTCAGGAAGCTAGGAATTTCCTCCAAAATGACGTTACTGCTTTATATTTAACGTGAAAAGTCCTCCAATCGGCCTCTAAAGTGGCACCCAAAATTACATTACTACGCATTCATCCCTTTGGATTAAAAACATTGCCATCAGCCGGGCGCTCACACCGGTAATCCCAGCCCTTTGGGAGGCCGAGGAGTGCTGATCTCCTGAGGTCGGGAGTTTGAGACCAGCCTGACCAACATGGAGAAACCCCATCTCTACTAAAAATACAAAATTAGCAGGGCGTGGTGGAGCATGCTTGTAATCCCAGCTGTTCAGAAGGCTGAGGCAGGAGAATCGCTTGATCGCTTGAACCTGGGAGGTGGAGGTTGCGGTGAGGGGAGACCCAGCCATTGCACTCCAGCCTGGGCACCAAGAAACTCCGTCTCAAAAACAAAACAAAACAAAACAAAAAAAAACACACCTGCCATCATGAGGACTCAATCAATCCTGATAGTTAACCATTTTACAGGAAATACAGGTAAAGAGGATTAAGTGACTTCATGGGGACAACAGGCAAATTCTGATGGGAGAAATGACAGAACTCTGGTTTCTTCGACAAAATTGCAAGACCTAAAGGGAAACATCGATTTTAAAATTTGAGCGTGATCTTGGCTCACCATAACCTCCGCCTCCTGGGTTCAAGTGATTCTCCTGCCTCAGCCTCCTGAGTAGCTGGGATTACAGGCATGTCCCACCATGCCTGGCTAATTTTGTACTTTTAGTAAAGATGGGGTTTCTGCATGTTGGTCAGGCTGGTCTTGAATTCCCGACCTCAGGTAATTGTCCCTCCTCAGCCTCCCAAAGTGCTAGGATTACAGGCATGAGCCACCACGCCTGGCCCATTATACTATTCTACTTCAGTTTATGTTTGAAATTTTCTCTAGTAGATTTTTCAAGTGTAAAAAAGCTGAAACTAAGTAAGGGAAAACCGCTGAAGGCAAACTTGCTCTTTTATCTGCCCCAACACACCAGCAGGATCTGGGGCATTCCCCAGGGGCACGTTTGTAAAATGCACTGCCTGGGAGGGGGAGAAACAAGCCTGTCCTCCTGCCACCCACTCAGCAAGATTTGGGAAGGCTGGGTAAATGATGGAATTAAGAGGTCAGTTTCTCCGGATGGCTATAAGACCAAATACGAACTTTGCTTCATCTATACTTAATCTAATTACAGAACATCTGCCTAAGAATTAGAGAAAGAGCTGGGTGCTGTGGTGGTGCACGCCTGTAATCCCAGCTACTGCGGAGGCCGAGGCAGGCTAAAATCTCTTGACCCTGGGAGTCCGGTGACTAGGGGGAATAAAATGGAGCTAGGGAAACAATCTACCCTCAGGGTACTGGGGCCCACTGGGGCTGCTTACCCTTGAGCCTTTCTTATTTGGGCCAGGAAACCTGGGCCCACAACGCACAAGGATAAGGGCTTGGATGATCCAGGAGGGGACTGACTGGGACAAGACAAGGAAAGCGCCTTTAGACTACTCAGAACAGAAAACTTTGGGAACAGCAGTACCACCAGCCCCTCCCCACCTAGCTCCCACGTCAACACAACCAACAACTCCACTCCACAGAGTTTATTGGGTCTGTAACTGGACGAAGTCACACCGTACAAAGTGAAGCTCACACTATCCCAAAGCAGAGTGGGACTGGGGGCTGGGGTCCGTTACTGGCCTTCGGGGGAGCTCCAAGTGAGGGGCAGCCAACCCTCCCACTCCAGAGGTGTGGCCACAGGGTGGGAAGGAAAAGGAACCCACCTGGCTTTGGTCACAGCACTCAGAGCCTGGCACTAGGCCAGGACAGACAGGCGGCTGGGAGGGCAGGAACCTCAGCCACCCTGCCCAGGGAGCCTGGGGTGCCCAGGGACTGCTCCACCAGTCCCACTTGCAATGTGCTTGGCCCAGACCTAGACTCAGGGGCTGGTGCAAAGGGAAGGCAGCAAAGCAGGAGGAAGGAGACACTGACGTGTGGTGGCAGGGAGGGAGTGGCACCTGGACCTGTGGAGGAGGGTGGGTGGGGAGGTGGGCTAGCAGCCTAATGGCAGCTAGCATCGAGTTTCATAAATGCCGCTGCGGCCAATGTAGCGCACCCATTTGATGACATCGTGGTCGCTGTAGTTCAGCTTCGGTTCAAACACCTTCAAGTAGCGCACCTTGAGGCCAGAGGGCGCAAATGGCACCTGGACAAGGACAGCTCGTTAGAAACGTGGCCTTCCTCTTACAGCCGCTCTCCTCTGGGAAGTCCCGTTGCCCTGCCCTACTTTATCCCACTACAGGTGTTTGAATGGCTGCGGCCGCCCTGAAAGCAGCTGGGGGGTGAGGGACCCTCTAAGAGGTGACTAAAGAAGAAAGCCCTGCCTGTGACACCTTGAATCACTTCCTTTAACAGCAGGAGACAGCAACCAAATTAGAATATACTTATCCTGCTCAGTATTATGAACTTAAAAATAAAGGGGAGAAGGCCGGGCACGGTGGCTCAAGCCTGTAATCCCAGCACTTTGGGAGGCCGAGGGGGGTGGATCACGAGGTCAACAGATCGAGACCATCCTGGTCAACATGGTGAAACCCCGTCTCTACTAAAAATACAAAAAATCAGCTGGGCATGGTGGCGCGTGCCTGTAGTCCCAGCTACTCAGGAGGCTGCGGCAGGAGAATTGCCTGAACCCAGGAGGCGGAGGTTGCGGTGAGCCAAGATCGCGCCATTGCACTCCAGCCTGGGTAACAAGAGCGAAACTCCGTCTCAAAAAAATGAAATAAAATAAAATAAAATAAAAATAAGGCGGAGAAAATGACGTCTACCATGCGTAAAACAAAGTCAGCCCATTGTTCTGTCTGCAAGCAAACTTTGTGTCTCACTTGGCATTTACACAATCTAAGTTTTTCAAAAGAACTGTGTTAGAACAAGCCAAGAGAAGTTAAAGATTTTCCTCACTGTGAATAGTAATTTCTGCGAAGAGGCTTGAAGGGGAAGGACAGATCTATGAATTAAAGCCACTTCTTTCTAGGCCTCAAGTTTCCTCACCTCTAAGGTGTTTATCAAGATGATCTCTAAGAGCTTTTCCAGCATACCCTGGCATGACTCTAGGTCCCTCCTCTGCCATACCTCAAAGTTCATGGAAATGGGGGGTCGAGCCCATTTCTTCTTGTCGTTGGTAGGCAGAAGCTCAATCTCTGCGCTGATCTGCGATTCCTTCATACCTGCCATGCGCTTGATCCTGGGAACACAGGGGCAGTGGGCAGCCTGTTGTAGCGTGGAGGAGTTTAAAGGGCAGTTGCCCACTTTTAGCAAAGAGAGAGCCCAGGAGGTGCCAGGACAAGAAGAGGTGATCAGGGCCCTGAAAACCACTTGCTATGGAGCCTTGGGTCTACTCCTTTAGGACAGGATGCAGTTTCTGCTTAGACACTGGGGCATGCTGTCCTTTGCTGTCTGCCTCACAGATATATTACAGGGGCAAGTAGGGAAACACTGAAGCATCTTAAAAAATAAGCACATGCATGAACCCCAATGCAGGCGTGTACATACTCACACAGAGGTATAAGGGCTGACAGTACAAGCTGAGGCTCCTAGAACAGCACACAAGCACACTCCCCCCACCCCTCATGCAGAAGATCAAAGGTAAAACAAGAAGGTACACTGCCATCTCGAGCCCTGCTGGGGCCTAATGAAGGAAAGACTCACTTCCATACGATGGCGTTCTCGCTGGCCTTGTACTTGGCCTTCCCCTTCATGCAGATCACCTGCACCCCACTTGTGTTCAGGGGGGTTGGGATCCTCACCTAGAAGTGACACAACTGTCAGGGAGCTCTGTCGGGCTGTGACATTAGCTGCCTTTATGCCCAGGTACAAGTTCTTCCTCCTCCCCGAGGCCCTTGTCCTCACCTCAATCTTCTGAGCCAGCAGTGAGGGTTTAAAGTTGGACTTGATGACCACCTTGACCTCCAGTTTGGTGCGTCCCACTTCTCGCACTAGCGGGATGACCCGGAAAGGAAGGATGATGTCCTTGGTTGTGCGATACCTAAGGGATGGGAGGCAAGGTCACCAAAGAGCCTGATGTACTTCCTCTCCTCGATCTCTGCCAGCAGCACTGGCTGCCTCCCCCAATCCCAGCGGCACCTCATAAGCTCAAACTCTCCATCTGGCGGGATGAAGCTGATGCTGCGTTCAGAGTCAAACTTGCTGAGTCGTACACACTGGTGGAAGGTGCAGTCATCAATGGCAATTGATTGCTTCCCGCTGCAGGCAGGGGCAGAGGAGATCTTATT